AGTATCAACATCTAAAAATACTCAATCTGTCCATCTGCTAATTTGATCAAATTGCAATACATTTCTTAAAGGCATATTGTACCTCGCAAACAAATATTTTTTTTAATTCTTTAGAAAGGACAACGATTTTATAATGTTTCAATAATCTGTTTTAACGAATGTTAGATGCTTGTTATCTGAGGAAAGAAACGATAAATGCTGTTCGCTTACAAACCCTATAGCAAGTAGAGAAACTGATAGCGAACAGCTTGGATCCTGATCAGGATCAGACTGCGCGGATGCGCAGGCTGATCTGGATCCATTCTGGTCGCAAACCCATAATGTTGGTTTTGTCGTGACACGGCTTAATTTTGTCACAAAAGTCGCAAAATGTAGACAAGTAGTATTCTGACTTCCATACAAAATACTTATTCAGTATAACAGTACTTATAACATTGCTACAACGGAACAAATTTAAAAGATGGCTCAGGTGATTGGCCAATGAGTAACTTTTTGGACACCAAATTTAAATATTTTTACTGGAAATAGAAATAAAAGTTTAAAAAAGGCATTTAATGAATAATCATTCGTTAATTAAGAGTAATCTCTCTTTAATGAAGAAAAAAAAAAAGATATATTACAGACAGCTTTGAGAAATATCAACCATTTGAGCGAAATATGAACTGTTCTAAACTCTAGATAAAATAAGTATCAAATACAAAATCGCTTATGAAGAAATAACAAAATATAAAGCAATGCATCAAATATTTTGTTGATGTTACATTAATTGAGCTAGAACACAGAAAGAAATAGCAATTAATGACGTCATCGTCGTCGCTGCTGTGCCATTGGGATCACCGTCCACCTTGTGACGCTTACATGGTGAAATCTTGCTCTCTTCTGGACAAACTTTGCGCTTCAGAGGGAACCCATTTTCTGCAAAATATAAATTTAATATCACGCCTTATTCACAGAAAAAAGTTCTGTTCTTTTATTCATGCATGCATCTTTAGAAATGTCTAAAAACACTACATATACTGTATATCTAAAATCTTTTGGATTTAACTCAATACAGGATTAGAGCAGTACCTGTAGACGCTTGCAGAAATCATGATCACAAAAATGACAAATATCGTTTTTTTTTTCGCCGATTTTTACATTTTTCATTCATTATCTGACATAAATCGGTGTGAAATGTTGAATAAGACGCGTTAAAATTCATTCCGTTGGGTGAAAAAGCAAGATTTTAGCATTTTATAGTTCAAGCGCCTTGTCCGGTATATACCGGAATATGGTTTTTAGTGTGGTGCTCCAATCCTTTTTTTAGTCACACTCAAATCTTTTTGCGATTTTTGTCAAATGACGTAACGAGCTATTAAGGTTTCCGGTGCGATTAGGAACCCTAATGATGAATCATTAAATATCGGCTTATTTTGGGAAATTTCGGTAAAGCCGAAGCCGTTCTCGCCTTTTTTCGACAACTGCTAAGTACGTGTTTTCAACTGTGACGTCATTAGTTGAAGAAATACCAAAATGGCGGCTCACATGATACATGCACATTAGGGACCGTATTCTATAATATAATGTACTGAGCACTCTGCTAAGCTCCTGCTTTGTATTTTGTATTATTTATTACATATTTACTAAATATTTCTTCAATTAGCAACATACTAGTAATCAAACTGACGGAATATACATTAAGCTTGACGCGTGAATTTGACGCCACGATGATAACTACACGAAACTTTTTGGTCATACTTCGGTTGATTACGTGTAACGGCAGGAGTCCAACGCTGCCCTCTTACTATTTGCATTTATTTTCAAAGTTTGTGTGATGAACGAGGAGGAACAGTAAAGGAATGCGTCACGATGTCGTACAAATCACCGAATGTGTTACGAGGTTGGGTATTTATGGAATGTGTCACGAGTAAATGCAGTGAAATATTGTCTCAAGAGTTTGTGAAATAATGGACTACGACACCAGGTCGTGCAGTCAGGGTTGTAAAATAATGAATGTGTGTCACGAGTATGTGCTATAAAAGATTGTGTCAATAACGAAATTTGACACGAGCTTGCAGAATCACGAATGTGTCACGTGGTGGTGCAAATAAGGAATGGGTAAAAAGGGTTGATCGAAGTACAAGTTCTTGTGACACCAGCAAAATTATCTTCCCTGCAATAGAACATAAATCTCAAACAGAAAAAATATCAGCTTTTGGAATTTGTATTACAGATTAAGTGCGGGTTAAGTTTCTAGGAATATTAATGATCATAAGGCACAATAAACCTCAGAAATGTACTAGTAAATGTTGTTTTTTTTCTTTTGAAGAAAAGATAAATCTATGTTTTATAGCTGTAGTGATGAATTTAGAACATGATTGTTAGATACATGTCATGTAGTAGAAGCAGAGATTTTGTTTAAAATTACATGTTGCGAAGCGTAAACAGAGTGACATTGTGTCTTCCATATCAAATACTTTATCACTATAACAAACAATCGCGCATAGCCATGTGATTAGTAAGACCCCCCTCCGCAAAAAAGGGGGGCGGGGGGGGGGCTTTAGAGAAATAAAAATACCCGGTAAAAGTTTTAGAGATATAAAAGTAATAACATTTTTTAGGCTTTAAGAGCCTTAAAGCTTATATTTGGTTAAAGAAAGAACATGATAAAATTCAATCTAGCGGATCTGAATCAACCAAATGACCAAATAAGAATTCAGTTAACACCAATAACTTGAAACCATGTCGTTTCCTGTTCCAAAATATACATGTTTGTTATTCTGAATTTGTTAATTAAGCTGAAATATATATATACATATAAAATACAGTTAAACTTCGACCTCTCGAACTCGGATAGCCGCCCAGTCCCGGCAAAATTCCTTGCAAAGTTTGCAAAAAAAATGGGAGGACTGTAATTGTAATTTAATGGAATAGCCGTGAGTGCGGGATTGTTTTGCACTGCATTTCAGTCATACATATGCTTCAGTACTCCGAAGATTTCACGCGTATATTAATTAATAGTACACACTATGGCAGAAGAATTCGTTTCTTTACAACAAAATATAATACACATCTACAAAATATTTGTTTTATGATGATATTAACAGAACAAACTTCGTCGTATCTTTCTGATTTAACATTTCCCGACTGTGTGGCGAAAACGCAAAAATACGTCATGCAACTTTAGTCACCGTACATGCATCAGTACGAACAAAAATGTTTAGTCTTTGGGGGAAAAACTAAGGAGAAAGAAAATTTCTTTAGAATTTATGTTTCAATGAATGTTATTGGCCCTATATTTAATTAAAGAAATAAGAAAATAACTCACGCATGCTAGAATGCCAATTAATCTGCTGTTTTTGTATTTATATAAAATCTAGTCTAAATAAATTACCATGCATAAAATAATAAAGAGAATTTACCTTGAACTAAACACTGTAGCGAAATTATAAATGTTTAATACGAATAAACAGCGAGAGCGGCAGACGAATTTTTTTTTGTATTCGTGCGCAAACGAATCAGCCGTATATATATAACTTGCAATAAAAGATAATTTAAGTGTTGCAGCTTTTATAATATGTACAGTTTTCATAAAACTAAAAGTGAGATTAATGAATATTTGAATAAAATCTGACATCCTTATATTTATCTCAATGCAAACGACGCGAGTGTATTTCATTTAATTCACATCATGTATAATATTATGTGTGCAGAATTTTCGCATTATCGTAAAAACGGAACTGCACGGGTGTGGTGTGCATATATTTTTGATATTATGGCGATATATAAACTTGTCAACGAAGAAAAGAATATTTTTACTGCAAACCTTTCATATTTTTGGAGTATGTCTACTATGTCATAAAAAGAATACCATAATTATTAAATATACTGAACTCGTTGGATAACAAAATATTGTTCAACTCGTATGGAACCTGCGTAGAATACATAATACATAATTTAATAATGAATATAACATGAAAAAAATGACTAATGCGTATACATAAATTCCATAAAGCAAGCTTATAAACATATGTAAGAACATTAATTCTTGCAATACAACTGGTGAATCAACATGAAGAAATAATCGAAATTACAAAGTAATCATCATTGATTAACAATGTTTAATTTGCCAGGGCAAAATTAATAACTTATTTCTTAATTCAAATGTTATGTTTTATATTAAAGAAGCACCGATACACAAATGTCAAACTAAAATTGTCCTTTTCAAGATTTTTTTGTTCCGTCAGATTTAAGAAATAAATTATCTCCAGCAATGTGAATATCTATCTCACAAACAAACAAAATTATTTGATTGACTTTTTTCCAGGTTAAGAATATTGCTCGAAGAATTCAGTAGGGTTTGTGGTAAGGAGTAAATGATTTTCTCCGTCATTCCATATGACAAAAAAAAAAGAAACATCAAAAATAAGTAATTGATCGGTCAAGCATTTTCTTCTAGTGTCAATGTGACCTTTTCCTTGACCTCAACTTTTCACGGGCAATGTCCCTCCTAGGTTTCACAAACAAAGTCTGATTCCTTCTCAAGTTGTTAAGCGGACAAAGATTTTACACCAAGTGTCACCATGACCTTGACCATTGACATACTTACTTCAATTTAGATTTATATGGATCATTTCTTGGTCATGGGCAATGTGTCTATACAAAGTTCCATAGACCCATGATTATTCATTCTCAAGTCTTCCAGTATAAAAGGCTTTTTACTGGATGTTGTCGTGTCCTTTACGATTGGACTACTGACCTCAAATAGGTATGGGATCATTTACTGTAACTGGTCATAGGCGATGTCTCAATCAATTTTCATAAACCTACTAAAGTTATTCACTGGGGAAATGCCACCAAGAGTCATTGAGACCTTGACCTTTGGCCTAGTGACCTTAAAATCGATACAAGTAATCTACTGGACATCCAATTTTCACAAACTGCTTCGAAAGACTCTAAGGTCAAAATGAAAGAAACATTTTGAATTATCTACATGTAATATGGTATTTAATGCCACTCACCTTGCGGATATTCCATATTCAGGTCGCAGACGTTCAAGTAGTCCATCAATTTACTTTTAGGGGCAGCAGTCTGACCGGGACTTTGCTCATAAAAATCATCACCTTCTTGTTTACCCTTTAGAAACAGCACGTAATGCTTGCCAACCTCGACATCCATCGATGTGCAGTGACCGGGTATAAAACCTGAAATAGACATAAATGATTGGATAATCAGGAATCGCTACACGCACTTGACCGTTATATATATCTGTTGAAAGACATATCAGTTACAACCAATTTCACCGCAAGTGACCACTACTAAATCGCACATGTACAGGCTCAACGTCTCAATGTCCTCTTCTTAGGAAGACAAAAACATCAGACGAGACTTCTCGATTATTAAATATATCTACATATACACACATACCTTAATATTTTTTTCACAATATTTATTAAACACAGGAATTCTTTTTTTTTCGACTCATTTGTCAGGTTATTAATATTTATTTTAGTATTAAAACAAGTGCTGTCAGAGAATATTCTACCACATTTTTATAATTATTGCCAAAACCACAGACGCTTGGGGGTCAGATCCTCCCCCCCCCCCAACGTGATACGCCCCTGTAAACACTCTATTACAACAATTAAACTGGTTTCCAAACAATCTTTAAATATATGAAAAAATACCGTATACCATCAAGTCTCAAAGTACTTTATTGAGACTTGATGGTATACTACGGAGCCCCTAAGGTGACATTCTCGACACTTTTCCCACAGCATTTAATTCGTTTTTACGAAATGTTAATACGTTTATACGAAATATTAATTCGTAATTACTAAATATGAATCCGTATTTACGAAATATATATTCGTTTTTACGAAATATTGTTTCGTAATTACGAAATATCAGTTCGTAATTACGAAATATTAATTCGTAAAAGCGAAATATTATTTCTTAATTACGAAATAATAATCGTTTTTACGAAATATTAATTCGTTTTTACGAGATATTAATTCGTATTTACGAAATATTAATTCGTTTATACGAAATATTATTTCGTAATTACGAAATATTAATTCGTAAAAACGAAATGTTATTTCGTAATTACGAAATGATAATTTGTTTTTACGAAATTTTTTTTCGTTTTTACGAAATAATAATTCGTTTTTACGAAATGTTAACACGTAATTACGAAATATTAATTCCTTTTTACGAAATCTTATTTAAGGTCATTGTGAGCTTGACAAAGAACCTACTTAAATTATCTCACAAATGGGCCTTTTACAAGCCTTGATCAACCTTGCGATTATAAGCCGAATGGTTCTCAAGTTATAATATTTAAGTGAACAAGATTTTTTGATCTCTATCCAAAATGGTCTCTTTTTCCTCATTGTCAAATACATGTTCCTATCAGCAATGTTTATTGTTTGAGGCAATTACTCTTTTATGACATGTTTCTTTAAAACAGAAACATGCTATATCATTCCTTTCTTTTATCATATACTCGTACATTAGTAAAACTAAAAGGGCGAGTGTGTGTGTGTGTGTTGGGGGGGGGGGGGGGGCTCCAGTCTTTCATTAATCTTAAAACAATTTAAAAAAGAAATATTCCTTACAATTTATGTATGGGTACCGTGCGATCATAAAAACATAATATTTATTTCAAAAACTCAATAATTTCGACAAAACGAAACAGAAAAAATGTATAAAAAGCGAATTAATATTTCGTAATTACGAATAATTATTTCGTATTTACAAATCATTATTTCGTAAAAACGAATTAAGTTCCGGGGAAAAAAGTGTGGAAATGTCACATAAGGGGCTCTGTAGTATACAGTATTTTTTTCATAAATTTATTTTTCATATATGTTTAAATATTAAAATAGTTTACAGGGGCGAATCACGTTGCAGGATCTGACCCCAAGCGTCTGTGGGTGTAACCCGGCTCCATGCTGTTCGCTATCAGTTTCTCTATTTGTTATAGAGTTTGTAAGCATCCTGATCAGACTGCGCGGATGCGCAGGCTGGTCTGGATCCATGCTGGTCGCAAACGCATTACGTTGGTTTTGTCGCGACGCGGCTCATTTAATTTTTATGCCTTGTTTAGAAATGTCAAATATTTGTTTAATTAATTATGTTTCAATAATGAATGTAGAGTATGTTACATGCACATGTTTTACAACTGAAAAAATAGCACTGAACGTAAAGGAATGTGTCGTAAAACAAAATAGTACTCGTAATTTGACTTCCATACAAAATACTTATTCACTATAATTAAACCTATTGCTAACAGAGCAAAGGAAGCAAAACAAGGTTCATCTAATTTTTTTTGAAACTGTAATAAGATACCAAAAATTAAAAGTTCTTAAAAATAAAAATGACAGCCTTTCTGAGGCATAATGGGCCTTTAAAATATTTAGCGTGGTATGGGTATGTTTTGCTTTATTGTTTAACAAACTATAGTGTATCCTTCAACACTTGCCACTGACGTTTTGGCACATGACAGTGATTGTATTTTACTAACATAATTTGACATTGTTTCAATAATTTCATCCACTTAGTATAAACTGTTTCGACATATTTAAAAGGTCGCCCATGATTCAAACAACACGGAGTAGATAAAAAGTGTAAAAATGTTAAGTGTTGGATAAAGTGTGTGTAAAAATGTTGTTGAATATAAGTATATCGTTTTTTATGCTCAAGTGAAATATGAATAAACATACACTATATCAAATAAAGAAGATTTTTGGTCAAACGTATAATAGTTAAAGGCCCATTATGCCCCAGAAAATGCTTATTTTTTTCTTATTCCTCCAAAGCTTTTTATTTTTGTTGTCCTATTCTAGTTTCCAATTACCTGAACCGTCTTTTGCTTCTCTTGCAATTTGGCAATTAGTGTACAAGTATAGTGGTTTAGGATTTAAAATAATTGTAATAATATCGTCATTGGTGAAGGGTGTTGGTAATTTTAACTCCGGATCACGGCAGTAAGCCACATTAAATTTACCAGAGTACAGTTCAACCACCACATCGTTGTCAAATAGTAAACCAGTACTAGATTGCCTATTAACTATTCAGCGTAAACAGCAGTCATGAACTTGTAAACAATTAGTCACGTGATGAATATATTAAGTCTAAATGTATAATTATAACATAAACAGGTGAAAAACAGGTTTATTGTGAAACGGGCGTAGCGAGTGACTGAGGAAAACAATGTATCTCTTCGTATGTCAGTATAGCACGTAGCTCGCGGGCACAGTTACTATATGTAAATCATTCATAATA